GATCTTTCAGTGATTCCCGAGTTAGTAGTTTGCCCGCCAAAATTTTCACGAGGCCGTAGGTGGCACCCGAGAGCGCGAGAAAGCTGAATTTGAATAGGCAAGGTTCAGCGTGGGCAGGGGTCATTACCCTAAAACTTCAGCCTCCTAGACTCCGTGATTCCCGAGATATTAAACTGCCCGTAAAAAATTTCACGGGGCCGTACGCGTTACCCGCGGGAAGCTGATTTTAAATTTGCGGGGTCACACTTTGGTGGGGAACGTTCCCCTAAATTTTCAGCATCCTAGCTTTTGTGGTTCCCGAGTTGAAAGCTGCGAACAAGTTGCTGCGGACACACACACACACACACAGACAACCCCGTGACAACATGCGTTTTGTACTGCTGTTACACAGCACAAAACGCATAAAAACCGGTACAGACGAACACACAGACAACCCGTCATCAATATGCGTTTTCTGCATTGCGTAGCTGCAAAAACGCATAAAAATCTCTCCACAATTCGTGTAGTAAACCAATAACAAATTATCACCACCATGTCAGACCGGTCTGCCCCAGAAAACTGTCTAAGGTCCTTTTCCTTGAGTGACTGCTGCTGATACAGCAAATTTTTCTAACAAACCCCCCTCCCAATTCGCCTACGAACCCCATTCCCCTCTGTAACAAAATTTCAACTTCTGGTACAGAAGTGGCGTAAAAATGCCTGTAAGCAGTACTACCTCAGAAAGCAGGTTCAATTTATCTTCCAGTTCCCTGATCAACTTTGCATTTGTGAGAGTATTTTCCTCGTTTGAAGAGTACCACAGCTGTGAAGTGAGCAATTCAACATCTTCCAAAAGCTTGATCTCCGATTTCCAGTTCTTTATTGCTGCCACTCTGTTCATCACACTTTTCTTAAAGCAACAAAAACTAATCAAACATAGCTTTTTCGTACAACAAGGATTCAGTGGGATATCTAGTTTAAGCCAAGCAATAATAACACAAAATCACCGAGAAGCTCAAGTGAATCCTTCCAACGCATTCGTGACCTTTACAACGTCGAAAAAAAATTTTGGTGGACGAGGATACCACGCTTGTGCGGCGGATGGGTTTCAGTGCATTAACATCTGCTTGGACGGGAAACATCCCTCTAAGATTTCAGCGCTGTAGCTTCTCAGATCACCGAGTTATGAACTATGAGTTATGAGTCCCACAATACTTAAATTACCTTTCTACAAATCGCTTTTGCTCAGGTGCTACAGCTAGTTCTCATCGCATGATCGGCCTAACTTCGCTTTCTGCCACAAATCCCTCTATAATTCCACCTCTGGTTTACCGCCAACTTTTTATCCTCAGTTCCAACAATGCTAATAGCAATAATCTGAAAACTACACGAGAATTATCAAATAGCATAAATAAAAAAGGCACTAAACTCAAAAAAAAGACTTACATCCAGCTCAATCTCTTTTTCCAGGCTTTTTATATTATCGGCGATCGAGTCGAGAGATCTGTCCGCGGTTTCGCAGGCTGTACGGACCGTCTTCAGCAGCTTGTTGCTGGTGATCAGATCCGGCACACATTCCACGTATTGACGTTCAATTGTTGATACCACTCCATCCATTGCTGGAAGAAAAAAAAAAATACTAAAACCAGTAATAACAAGCCTGTTCTGAGAAGCAGTCTTATATTGGCATTGGTAGATCCGGAGGGAGGGG